TCACATGAGTTCTTATTAGTGTAGGGACAGGATGCTGCCGCTTTCAGGGACAGATTTGGAAAGAATTCTGCAAACTAGTACATTAGTGGGGTGCACTTCATATCTGAGAGTCAAATAGAAGCGTCAAATACTGCTGTCACATTGCAGTTTTAAAACTTTAAATTGTTTGGGTGCTAAAAAGTACATTAGTGGGGTGCTCTTCATATCTTAGAGTCAAATAGAAGCGTCAAATAGTGCGCTTACAGCGCAGTTGTAAAAATTCTAATTGTTTTGCTGCTAATCTGCTAAATATTACTTTTGGGGCGTGCTCTTTATATCTGAGAGTCAAATAGAAGCGTCAAATAGTGCGCTTACAGCGCAGTTGTAAAAATTCTAATTGTTTTGCTGCTAAACTGCTAAATAGTACATTTTGGGTGTGCTCTTTATATCTGAGAGTCAAATAGAAGCGTCAAATAGTGCGCTTACAGCACAGTTGTAAAAATTCTTATTTTCTGGGTGCTAATCTGCTAAATAGTAAATTTTGGGCCTGCTCTTCATATCTGAGAGTCAAATAGAAGCGTCAAATAGTGCGCTAACAGCGCTGTTGTAAAAATTCTAATTGTTTTGCTGCTAATCTTCTAAATAGTACATTTTGGGGCCTGCTCTTCATATCTGAGAGTCAAATAGAAGCGTCAAATACTGCTGTCACATTGCAGTTTTAAAACTTTAAATTGTTTGGGTGCTAAAAAGTACATTAGTGAGGTGCTCTTCATATCTGAGAGTCAAATAGAAGCGTCAAATAGTGCGCTTGCAGCGCAGTTGTAAAAATTCTAATTGTTTTGCTGCTAATCTGCTAAATAGTACATTTTGGGTGTGCTCTTTATATCTGAGAGTCAAATAGAAGCGTCAAATACTGCTGTCACATTGCAGTTTTAAAACTTTAAATTGTTTGGGTGCTAAAAAGTACATTAGTGAGGTGCTCTTCATATCTGAGAGTCAAATAGAAGCGTCAAATACTGCTGTCACATTGCAGTTTTAAAACTTTAAATTGTTTGGGTGCTAAAAAGTACATTAGTGAGGTGCTCTTCATATCTGAGAGTCAAATAGAAGCGTCAAATAGTGCGCTTGCAGCGCAGTTGTAAAAATTCTAATTGTTTTGCTGCTAATCTGCTAAATAGTACATTTTGGGTGTGCTCTTTATATCTGAGAGTCAAATAGAAGCGTCAAATACTGCTGTCACATTGCAGTTTTAAAACTTTAAATTGTTTGGGTGCTAAAAAGTACATTAGTGAGGTGCTCTTCATATCTGAGAGTCAAATAGAAGCGTCAAATAGTGCGCTTACAGCGCTGTTGTAAAAATTCTAATTGTTTTGCTGCTAATCTTCTAAATAGTACATTTTGGGGCCTGCTCTTCATATCTAAGAGTCAAATAGAAGCGTCAAATACCAATATAACAATATTGTAATTCGGGGTCAATACCCTCACAAGTAGGGCCGGACCGGCCCACCGGGATACCGGGAAATTTCCCGGTGGGCCGCAGCAAGCTGGGGCCAGGCAAAGAGACCCTGCACAGGGTAAATCAATTTTGGCTGCATGCCCCGCCCCCACCCCACAAGCCCCGCCTCCTGAACAGAAGCTCCGCACGCAAGCTCCACCCCCACGCACGTTGATGACACTGGAAAGCGGCTCACCGGACCAGCTGGAAAGGTATTTATATTTACCTTTTAACAGCTTCCCCTACCCACCTCACAACCCCCTTACCCACCTCAAGGCCCCCTACCCACCTCACAGTCCCCTTACAGCCCCCTTACCCACCTCACAGGCCCCCTACCCACCTCACAATCCCCTTAATTGGGCTACCCCAATTAAAAAAATAATAATATATATATATATATATATATATATAACAGTGTTGGCTACCTCCTCCTCCACCGCTGCTTCCACCTACACTGCCACGGTCACCGCCTCCTCAACCTATGGGTCATGTAATATAAACTATGTACACAATAGCAGAGGCTTGTGAAGGCCTTTTCTCCATGCATCAGAAGTTGAGCTCAGTTTGAACAACTGATTTATGTTCTTCCAAAGCTAAAATCAAAGATTCCATCTAGTGCTATTTTATGGCTCAGCTGTATTTTTTATTTTGATGTTATTTTAAATGATTTCCCTATCCACATTTGTTTGCAGGGCACTTGTCCTACTCTTACCCCCATTTTACTTCCTTTTGCAGCCCTCTAGCCCTTTCCAGGACTTTTTTAGAGGCATTTTGGTGCCCAAAAGTTCGGGTCCCCATTGATTTCAATGGGGTTCGGGTTCAGGGTCAAGTTCGGGGTCGAATTCGATCCCGAACCCGGACATTTTTTCAAAGTTCGGCCAAACCAGCTGGACCTGAACATCCAGGTGTCCGCTCAACTCTAATTATTTGCATTCTGATTTATTTCCTAAATACAGCAATACCCTAAATGTATACCTTTAGCAGCGTGGGGGTTATTTATACTATCAAAATAGAGTAATGTCCTAATTTATCTCTTGCTTCTCAAAGATATTAGTTGTTTAAGTGACAATATCTTTTAGATCTTCCCTAAAAGCTAGCACCTCGCTAATTCCTCCTCTTTATATCAGCTAACTTTGCCTTATTTGTAACCGTCTTTTAAAGCACATGTGACCACCTCTCCATATTACTGAAGATGGAATCCATAGCTGGCACTTGGTTGGCATTAAGGACGTTTATTGCTTCTATTTATTTATTTTTTTATGCATCCCATATCACCACAGCTCATCTGCTGACACATGAAGAAGTACAGAATTTGAATATACTCTGATGACTCTTTTCTTGATCGTGCTTTCATTGGTTGTTTTCTTTGTCATGTGGGCATTCACATAGACCACATTAACCAGTCTAACTCTGTATTCTCCGAATTTAAAGTTCTCAGTGACCATTTTATTTCAAGTTAGCTTTGGGGATAGGATTTTTTTTTTCTGAATACTAATGTTAAAGATGAATTGGGGTATCTTAACTTGCCCATTTTGTAGTCAAATTTGCATAACAGTAGAGCAGGCCCTAATAGTGAACTGTCATTTCCATAAAGCCATCTGATTCAGACTATTATGTTAGCAGTACTCCCAGTGAGTTGCCATGCTACCTTTTCTAGTCTTCCAATTGGTCAGTATTTCATTTAGCAAACAAGCATGGAAGGTAAAGGAAAAACCAACCAGTATTGGCTTCCCTTGTTTCTTCTTTATCATAGGAACAAGAACGTGAACCCTGATTCCTCTGGGAACACAAGTCTTGAGAAATATATCATTTCCCTAAACCTGTTTTTGGAAATAATTATTTTTCGTTTTAGTTGATTGGGCTATTTTCCCTGGGATTGCCATTCTGCTTGTGAATAATTGTATAACATTCTTATAACAACATTTGTAAAGGGAACAATCAGTCATTCAGAGCCAAAACAAAGCAATTTATTTAAACAAACTAATTAACTTATATATGTAAATATGTAAATAGCAGAACAGATGTACAAATACATAAAAACAGCAGCTTAAAGACATGTTACATTAATTACCCATTGTACAGCGCTACGGAACTTGCTGGCGCTATATAAATAATAAAATAATAATTTAGTATAGGTTTTATTACAGAAAGCATCATGATTATGTTATATAGAACAAAACGTTGTTGAATTTATTTACCAGACCAGAATTGTGCGGAACTGACAAGGAATTGCAAATTTTCGTCCAAAACATTTGTATTCAGAAAATGTTTCAATATAGCTGGGTGCATAGGCCTGGAAATTGCAATTGCCTTGTCAATTCTAGAAATTACACAGTTTACAGAATTATCATCATTCTAAGCAACTGAAAGAGTGGGATATCAATTATCCACATTTCCCAGTCTAGTGAATAAATACTTCAGAGCATCAAACAGAGTAGTTGGATATTAATGTAGGACAAATACATAGGGATTTGAGCAGTAAAGATATTTTTCCTTCCAAAACATGGAATCCTCAGAGGTATGCATCCTATTTCCCATGGTAGTACAAAGATGTTTGTCTATTTACAGATGTTGGCTACCTGAAGTCTATGCTACACTAATGCTACTCTCATCACGATGTGTACAAGAGACAGGTTACTGGAAGCTATATGTATGGTATACTTCCATAAAGGGACACTATAGGCACCCAGACAACTACATTTCATTGACGTGGTCTGGGTATACTGTCCCAATCCTCTTAACATTGCAGCTGAAAACTTGTGTTATTGCAGAGTAAAAACGGCCTTTAGTGGCTATCTACCAGACAACCGATAGAGGTTTTTCCTGCCTTTTTATAGAGTTTGAAGCCCATGGAGCAACACAGGAGGGGAGTGGGCCTTGACAGGGCCGGAGAGTTGGCAGGTGAAGTTAAGGTCAAGGGGTGTGGAAAAGTAATGTCTGGACAGGGGGGGGAGGAGAATAAGGGTTTAAATAACAGCCAATTTGGTGAGCTGGCCTTTTTAATCAAAATCGCACTTACTTGATACTTGTCAGGTTTGTGTGGTCTGTTCTTTTTCTTGCAGGGATGGCTTCTGCCGAAGAAATCTTGGCTGGTGTGAGAAGAATGGTGGAAGAGAAGGGGATGGCGTGGCTGCAGGATCAACTGGGGGTCCTGAGCACGTCTGCTCCCCCCACTGCGGTGTCGGAGAGGAGGCCGACCAGGAGGGCACGTCCGCCCCAACGACTCAGCCCGGGAGCACCGCCAGCGGCGAGGAGGAGGAGGAGTCCAGCGCCGCAAAGTGGGGAAAAGGCGGCCCAGGCGGAAGGACGGGCCTCAAGAGTCGGAGTGCGCCGGGCGGGCGCTAGTCGGAAGCCCGCCGGTGGGAGAAGGCCCCGCCGCAAGTCTGCGGGCGGGAGGCAGAAGGACACGGCTGGATCCTGTACAGCTGGGATGGCAGCCAGGCAGCAGGGCCGTGATGGTCCGGAACTTCAGCGCCCCGGTGAGTCCGCCCCTAGTGGCGATACTGAGGGGCAGGAGGATGGGGTGCTTGAGGACAGCTCGACGCCAGCGCCCCCTCAGGTGACAGGTGGAGAGGCAGATGGCAGGTCAGGGACGGGCTTAACCCTCACAGGGAATAGGTCCAGGACAGGTAGCGGTGACAGGGGCAGCAGCGTCTCCGAGCAGACGGGAATGGCGAGGGGGGGTGAATCCCTGCCCTCAGGAAGTTGCCGGGATGAGAGGAGAGGAGACGGCAGGTCAGCGACAGGAGGTTGCAGGGACAGGGAGGAGCCGCAGGGGCTGAGGAGGAAGGAGACATGCAGAGGGGTCAGAGGCGAGCGGGAGCCCCCTATGGGCCGCTCTCAGGCGCAGCAGGACAGGAGCTGGGCCAGGAGGCGAGGAGTGAGGAGTGAGTATTGAAGGGGACAGGAGCAGCACCCAGAGGAGGTCAGCAGAGCAGGGGAGGAGCAGGGACAGGAGCCAGTCCAGGAGCCACCGGAGCAGGCAGAGGTCATGCACCAGGGAACAGAGGCTAAGATGTAGGCGCAGTGCTTCCAGTTCATCGGGCGGGAGTTTAAAGGACCAGCAGAGGAGGTCTTACGGCCGGGACGGTCAGGCAGCGAGACAGCGTAGCGATAGTGACAGGAGGAAGGAACGCCGGGAGGAAAGGCGGGTAGGACAACACGTGGACAGACTACCCAGGTTATATTTTCCCGGCAGGTCGAGGAGCGTGACACCTACGGTCCCGAGGAGAGGCCAGGCGGAAAGGAGTCGGCGGCAACAGGAGACTCCGGAGCCTGAAATGGCGGACGGAAGGACAGCAACCCTGCGGCCGGCCACGGTCGGGGGCACTGGCGGTGAGTCACGAAGTACACCACACACTGGGTCCTTATTGGGTTGCTTAAAATCTTTCATTAACTCCTGGGCGGGAGATGAGGGGTCAACCCCGCAGTTTGGTAGGGTATGGTCGCCAGAGGACGGGGGAGATAAAGAACAAGGGGCGGAGAGGATGGTGACACACAAGTCGGGTGCCGTCGAAACGGGGGACGGTGAGTCGGGAACCGGAAAGGCAGTCGGGTCTGGCCAACAGGTGGTCGGGGGTGGTGAGATAGCGGACGTGGCACGGCAAAACGTGCATGTGTCCTTCGCGGGACCACTAGGATGTCACCTGAAAGCGGAGGTAAAAGAAAAAATTGGGAAGGGGGAATTCATGGAAATCTTCTCCTTACTTCCACTCGAGGAATTTCTCGACTTGAAGGAAGAGGATAAGAAGGACGCTAAAAAAGAAGAAGAGGAGAAAAAGCGGCGGTATCGGAAGATACCCAAGACTTTTGGGAATTGGCTCAGAGCCTTCTGTATTTTGGCGAGCGTAGTCGGGGAAAAGCACCCAGAACGATGTTCGCAGCTGTTTTGTTATTTGGACGGGATAGGGGACGCTTACAGGACTTATGGGGGATTAGCATGGTGGCGGTACGACGAACAATTCCGCCAACGGTTGGCAGCGAATCCGAGTATGAGGTGGGATCAGATGGACCTGCCTTTATGGATGAGAATAATGATGGCCCAGAAAAATGCGCCCTTTCAAGGGACGGCCGGTACGGCCACGGGAAGCGCTGTACCGGCCGGACAGAAGAAGGGGTTCTGTTGGCTGTTCAATGAAGGGCAGTGCAAATGGGGGGCATCGTGTAGATTTAAACATGAATGTTCCGGATGCGGGGGAAATCATGGAGTCAACAGGTGTTTTAAGAAAGGAAAATCTAACTTCGGGGGTGCAGCAGGGACAACAGCCACGGCAGTGGCGACTGGGAACGTCGCCGGTGAAGGTCGGCGCGATGCTGCCGTGGTTAAGGCAGTACGGTAATCAGGAAGAGGCGAGGTTCTTATGGCGGGGGTTTACAGAGGGTTTTGTTATCCCATTCAAGGTCAAAGGTCCGGGAACCATGTGTGCAAACCTTAAATCAGTCCGGGACCACCCGGGGGTAGTGCGGGAAAAATTAATGAAGGAAGTCCAGATGGGGAGGATGGCGGGGCCGTTTCCGTCCCCGCCGATAGAAGATTTAAGGGTGTCTCCGCTGGGGGTGGTCCCTAAAAAGGAGGAAGGGAAATTTCGCCTGATACATCACTTATTGCACCCACGGGGGTCATCGGTAAATGATGATATCGACGCGGCGCTGTGTTCCGTATCCTATGCATCATTCGATCATGCGGTCGAGTTGGTTCGGAGAGCGGGACACGGTGCACTGATGGCAAAGGTGGACGTGGAAGCAGCATTTCGGCTGCTCCCCATTCATCCGGGTTGTCACCACCTTTTGGGGTGCTTCTTCGAAGGGGGTTTCTTCATAAACCTGTGTTTACCGATGGGCTGTTCCATCTCGTGTTCCTATTTTGAAAAGTTTAGCACCTTTTTGGAATGGGTGGTACGACGGGAGTCGGCTGGGGGATCAATCGTGCATTACCTCGATGATTTCTTGTGTGTAGGGCCGGAAGGATCTGAGCGGTGTGGCCAGATATTGAGGGTGTTTCAATGGATAGCACACTCTTTTGGGGTTCCTTTGGCAGGGGATAAGATGGTTGGCCCCACCTCATGCCTTAGTTTCCTCGGCCTGGAGATTGACTCTGTAAAAGGTGAATGCAGACTGCCCGCGGACAAGCTACTTAAGCGTTGTCAGCTAGTGGACACAGCGTGGCATGCGAGAAAAGTGACTTTGCGAGGGCTGCAGTCGCTATTGGGGAGTCTTAATTTTGCATGCAGGGTGATTCCGATGGGCAGAGTTTTTTGTCGACGGCTGGCCCAGGCGACGAGCGGTGTGCGGTTGCCGAATCATTACGTGAAAGTTTCGGCGGATATGAGAGCGGACCTGGGGGTTTGGAAAAGGTTTCTAAGGGAATTTAACGGTATAGTGTTTTTTCGGGAGCCGGGAGTTTCCTCCAAGGACATAGGCTTGTTTACAGACGCCTCCGGGAGCGTGGGGTTTGGGGCTTATTTAGCGGGGCAATGGTGCGCCGAGGAGTGGCCGGCGGAGTGGAAGACGAGCTCGCTGATAAGGAACCTCGCGTTCCTAGAATTTTTCCCGGTGGTAGTAGCGGTGGCGTTATGGGGAAAGCAGCTCGCAAACAAAAAAGTAGTATTTTACTCAGATAACATGGCAGTGGTCCAGGCTATCAATGGGTTGTCGGCATCATCTCCTGCAGTGATACGGTTATTAAGGCACTTGGTACTTTTATGTATGTCTAGCAATATAGTGTTCAGGGCAAGGCATGTTCCAGGTTTCTTGAATATAGTGGCTGACGCGCTTTCTCGTTCACAGTGGGAACGTTTTCGGGAAGCAGCGCCGGAGGCACAAGAGGAAGGATTGGCATGTCCGGCAGAAATGTGGCAGCTCGGGACATCATGCTTGGGGAGTTCATAAAGAATTCCCTGGCACCGGGCACCTGGGCGGCATATGTGAAGGTTTGGCACGAATGGGAAGAGTCGGTGGCACAAGTGGGAGGGGACTGTTCAGAGGAACATCGGTTAGATATACTGTTATGGGTACTGTGTCGACTATTTTCCAGGAAGGCTTCACCAGCTATGGTTGACAGGCACATGTCGGCGTTGGCCTTCCTATTTAAGTTTAATGGATGGGAGGATATAACGAAACATTTCTTGGTCAGGCAAGCCATAAGAGGTTTTCGGAGGGGTAAGAAATCGGTGGATACGAGGAGGCCAGTGTCATTCGCGGTGCTGCAAGGACTAGTGGAGGTTCTACCGGCATTATGTTATTCCAAATATGAAGTTGTGTTGTTTTCCGGGGCGTTTGTCTGGGCATTCTTCGGGGCATTCCGTATTGGGGCTGCTTAGCACCAACAAAGCAGGGGTTGGTGGGATTCGGTTGGGGGATGTGACCATTGGTGAAGATAAGGTACAGGTCAAGTTGTGCCGCTCAAAGACGGACATATTCGGCAAAGGAAGCTTGGTAACATTGTTCAAATTGCCAGGGTCTAGGGTTTGCCCAGTGGATTGTGGCGCCGAATTCTTGGAAGTCCGCCCCGAGAAGGAAGGCTGTTTCTTCATCCATGCTGACGGTAAGGCTTTGTCCCGTTTTCAGTTCGTTAAGATATTTCGTGCAGGATTGGGTAAGCTGGGCCTGGAACCCATGCATTTCGGGACACATCCGTTTAGAATTGGAGCCGCAACGGAGGCGGCTCGGTTAGGTCTGGGAGACGAGCGGATCAAACAGATAGGAAGATGGGAGTCCATTCGGTTCCGCTCATACGTTAGACCGGACAAGTTGGTGTAATAGGGGACTGGGGCGTTGTTTGTTAAGGGCTCTGCTGTTCACTGTTCTATTTCTTTTAGGTCGTTTGGTATGGCTGATCGGACATTCCTACGTTTATTGGGCGCGGAGGAGGGCCGCGATGAGAAGAGACGGAGCACAACTGGGCTTCCCGGTGGAGGCGGTGGTTCTCACTTGGTTGGGTTTCCGGGGTTTCGGTTGGCAGAGCATCAGTAAGGATCTGTTCAATAGGCTGGCATGGGGGTCAGTCCCTAACGTAATTCTGGTTCATGGTGGGGGGAACGATTTAGGCTTGATCCCGCAGCGGGAACTGTTGAGGAGGATGAAGAGGGATCTGGATCGGCTACGTAAGCTGGTTCCTGGCGTGGTAGTGGTCTGGTCCGAAATGGTGCCTCGCTTTAATTGGAGACACGCCAGGGATTCGGCTGCGATAGCGCGAAGTAGGGGTAAGGTCAATAAGACCATGGCGGTTTTCGTGAGGCGGATGGGTGGCGTAGTTGTGCGTCACAAGGAGTTGGAATGTATGCTGCCCGGGTATTTTAGGAAGGATGGGGTTCATCTATCCGACGTGGGATCGGATTTACTTAATTTGGGTTTTCAGGATGGTATTGCACAGGCCCTGTTTTTGTGTGGTGGGGGTCGCTCATGTTCTTGAGGGGGTCAAGTCATGTGCTGTGGCGGAATAGGGCCTGGGTTAAAGAGGATTTAGGTGGAATGGGAAGTGGGCAGGCCAAGGTCTAGGCTGGACTATGCCGGAGTGGAAAATGGTTTGTAGGTTCTAGCTCGTTGGTGGCTACGAATCTGGGGGTGTAGGGGTGTCTGGGTACACCCCTACAGTTAAACATATGGTTATGGGGCCTCTTTGGTAGGCCATGGGTTAAACGTTATGTATTATTGGAATGTTTTATTATGTTATTTGGTAGGGTCATTGTCGGGGGTATTGGGCAAGAAGGTCGGACATAATTAATACTTGTGACAATGACCCTA